GTTTAGGTTTTTGTTCTGGTTCTTTTCCTTTTTGTAAACTAGTAAATGGTTTTATTTGCTTCTAATAGCATTCATTACAAAGACCTTGATTGGGCTCTAGTTCAAAAATATGTTTAGTGAACAAACAATCTGAACATAAAGCTACTTTGCCTTTAAAATTAGTACGCAAGTTGGCAATAGCTTGTTGATGATCAAAATCAGTATTCGATAGATCAAAAGACTCAGCTAGAATTTGGTTTAGTTGTTGTTCTTTATTGGTAGTTAATTGTATTTCACCAATACGAAAGAGCAGAGTTAATTCTTTATTTGTAAACTCTCTATTAAATCTATCTGTTTCTTGTTCCTCTTCTGCTTAAGCAATGCTTTGAGATGTTATGCCAAGCAAGGTTTGGGCTAACCAGTAAATACTATCTTGGTTTATATCATAATAACTTCTAGCACTTTTATTAGACTCAGTATAATGCTTAACTCTGGTCCACAAGTTATAGTTTAGGTTATACTTGATATTTTTACTAGCTTTGTATGTATACATATGCTCAAAACTACAGAACCAAGTTCTATTTGGCAAATTATACATGTTGTGATTAGGATTTTCTTTTTCATATACTATACATTTAACTAAAGTTCTTCTTCCTAATCCTTGTTCATAATAATAATAGCTCCTGGGGTCTTCTTGATTCAAATTTTCATAATAGTCCTTATAGTATGCTTTGCAGACTAAAGTCTCTTCTAGTAGCATTAATTCATTATCAAATTGAGGATACTTGCATTAATAGCAGTGATATTTTCTCTTTTGACTATGATAATATGCTTTTTGGTTAGCAACTTTTTCTTTATCACAACCATATTGATATTTCTTATTTTCTTGTTCAAGTTTACTTCTAGAACAATTAGCACTAATATGTCTTTTGTTATCATACTTCCTATATTCATTTTCTGGACAATCTTTAAATTGATAACTTGATTGACCACAATTAGCACAGGTAGTACATTTAGGCTTTTGGTAAAGACATTTAACAGCAATATGTCTATACTCATCATATCACCAACATTTGTTATATTAGCAATCTTCAAAGTAATGATCAGTTTGTTCACATGTTCTACATCTCTGGTTTTTCTTGTGAGAGATTTTTGATTTTTGTTGATATATAGTCCATTCTGAGTCTTCAATATTATTAGATTCTGCTTCTAAAGTATAGGCTTCATAAGAGATTAATTCTTCATCCTTATATTCTTCATCCCAGTTATTATCTACTTTACTGACTATGAGTTGTCTTTCTATAGCCTGATTATGCTCATAAGTAGTAGGTACAATAATATGATAACTGTCTCAATATATAATATATTCTTTAGTTTTTCAATCATATTGGGCTTCTACTTTGCAAGACCAATCATTTCCCAAAATAAAAGAGTAAGTAGTTGCTAGTACAACTTCTATGAAGATAGGAATAGTAATTTCTGCAATTTCTACAGAAATATCTTTAATAATACCTAGCGGTCTAACTTGTTTTCCAAGTGCAGATGAAATTAAACTATTAGAAGAGGTATCTATTTTCAATCTAATTTCTTTGGCAGCTTGTTAGGTAATCATACTAATAGCAGCTCCACTATTAATAATAGCAGTAAATGGTCTATTACGAATAGTTGCTTGATATTTCACAGGAATAGTTTGTGGTCTATTAGAGTATACCAGATTTACAATATTGAAGTCACCTTGCAGATAATTTGCTAAAGCTCTTTTAATACTAGTATTATTTAAAAGAGTATCCCAATAATTGGTAGAGATAGTTTCTTTATTATCTGCTAAGTTAATATATTGACAAATAGGAGATCTATAACAGACTTCCTGGTCTCTAGACTGACTTCTAGACCTGCTTCTATTATTTTGATTATAATCTCTAGATCTGCTTCTATCATATTAATTATAATCTCAGGTGTTTCTTCTGTACCTTTCTTGATTTCTAGATAGATTTCTTCTATAATTCTGAGGTCCTGATCTGGATCTTCTTCTAAAATCTCTATTTTGGTTTGAATGATTTTTTCCTCTGTTGAGTTGACAATATACAGCAATATATTCTAAATTATTACATCGAAAACAACAAATAGTTGGGTCTATGCTTCTATTTCTTCCTTGATTCTGATTAGTTAGATTATAACTGTTTTCAATAGTATAAGCTTCCTTTTTGTTATTTTGTTGAATCAAGTTAAGACTCATATTTTTAAGACTATCAGTTAACTCTTAAATCATATTTTCTACTTTATTAGTAGATTCAGAAGCTAACATTTTTACAGTTTTCCATCTTCTGGCTGTTTCAATTGCAGTATTCATATTGGCAAGGCTGGATGTTTATATATAGACAATCAAGTCAGATTAAAGATCTTGTATAAAAAGTTGTTTAATAAAATCTTCTAGGAATCCTTCATTAGGATCAATTCGCTTACGAAGCTTTTTAAAACGATTAATATAGGCATCAACAGAATCTGCTTTTTGCTGAATATCAAAGAGTTGTTTTTGCCAAGCAGCTTGTTAAGTAGAAGTAGAGAAGCATATTTTAAATATACAGTAAAAACTACAGGCTTGGGCATTATCAGTTCTAAAAGAGATAGCAGTTTGGGTATCTTTTAAGGATTAGTACTATTCTTGAGCAATTTCTTTAAGATATGCAGAGGCAAGCTCCAATTGTTTTTCTGCATTTTATCTATTAGCAATAGCAGTATGTTTAAATTCTTCTATCCATTTAACAGGATCTTGAAACCCATCTTCTTCAAAGTATTTCAAGGTTACTAAAGTCTTTTCACCTTCTCATCCTAGTGCAGTAGCTAAAGCTTGTATAGTAGTAGCAGCATCTTATAAAGCAGCTTCAGCTATCAGTTCAGGGTTTATAGATATAGTAGGGTTTGCTTTAATATCAATCTGATTAAGAATTTGATCTGTTTCAAAACCAAACAATTTGCAGGATGTACTAAAATTAGAATTTAAAATTATAGATTCAGGTAGAGAAATACTAATAGATAATTGATATGATATAGATCCTTTACTAAAAAAACTATCTTCTAAATAAGTAATATTGGTAGGATCAGAGTATTGGGTTAATTGAAGGCTACTATTAGAAATATATGAAGTTTCAAGTGGTTCTAACTCTTCAGGTGGGTTAATTAAATCCTTTGCTTGATAGTCAGTATCAATATATAAGTTGTAAAGGTTAGCAAAATATATTCCTAAAGATGAATAATGTGTAAAAGTAGTATATCTTTGTAATAAATAAATTATTAAAAATTTGGGATCAGGAATTTCACTATAATAGCAATAGCTAAATATTATATCTCAAGCAGCTCTGCGAGTGATAGTATATCTTGTAGTATGCTTTAAAGTATGTAGTTGATTACAAGTAGATAAGCTGCAAGATTGTAATAGGCGATAGTATGATACCACTTAATAAACTGACCAAACTGTCTATTTGAACTATATCATCCAAGAAGAAAACAAATAAAGCAAGATAGATCTGGATAACTGAGCTATAGATTTGGGTAAGGTAGTGAAGTAGTTTGCTGATGGGCTTGTTTGTGTAAAGCTATTTGATTGTTGTGAAACTCAATTACAGTAGTCATATACTATATTATATTCTGATTTTTTTTCCAGAACCAAATACTGGAATTCAATTGACTGTTTCGTTTTGAATTTGCTAGCAATATAAAACAAAATTCTATTTAAGATATATACAGCTAGGAATATTACGTCTAGAGATTTACATACAGTTGGGAATGTTATGTCCAGAGATTACACACGGCTGGGAATGTTATGTCCAGAGATTACACATGGCTGGAAATGTTACGTCCAGAAATTACACTAATTTACTGTTTCTAAATTAAAAATTTTAATAAGAAGAGTTTCCTTAATACTAAAATTATCGGTCAATAATTTTGTGTTTTCACCAAGAGGTACCAAAATATTACAGCGGTACTTAAAATATAAGACAATATTGACAGATATAGAATAGTTTATTTTAATAATAAGGTTATACAAAATAAGTTATACAGATAATACAGGTAATACAAAAAAAAAAACTCTTTCCGATGATCCTCTGGACAATACAACAAAAAACCGAACTATGGAAAAATGATATAGAAAGTTTCAAGATATATACTATTCTCAGTCCTGTCTTGAGTAGAACAGTTGTCAACAAAGCCTAGGAGATGTGAAACACTGAGGAGCAGGCATAACTTAGGCGGTTTTTCTTGAGGTCAAGCTTTTCTATTTCGGTGGACTTCCCAAGTTATTTGGTATCCAAACCAGAAGGGTTTTCTGGAAACTGAATTTATCTATGAACAGGTTGCTGCTGATGAAACTTGAAAGACGTGAAATACCGAGGAGCAGGTGTAACTTAAGTGGTTTTCCCTGGGTCAAACTTTCTTTGCTTGGTGGACTCCCCAGGTTATTTGGCATCCAAACTAGAAGGTTTATTCTAGAAGCAAGTAGTGGACCGGCCCTCGCTGAGATAATATAGTCTTGTAAAACCAACTATACAACCGTAAAACTTACAAAAGAACCTCATATATTTCCGTTGTCCCTCCACTATTTTTTCGAGGAAATTTTTGTAAAAAGTGTGTGACTCAGCTTACCCCTCCAAAAGATCGACAGATTGTTTACTTTCCTAATCGGGCGGTATTGTTTACTTTTTTTACCGGTCACAACAAACACGTGGATACATATGGAGTAGTGAACCTATGATTACATGCCTCGAATTTGATGATCTGAACAAACAATGCTCTGAGCCCAATAGTGCGATGTCTGACTTCTCTACGGTGCTGACAGTCGAAGAAGCTTTCTTCTTTTTTTGTTTTTTTTTTAGGTTTTAAGTCTTTAACATACTAGGTATATAAATTAGTGTAGAGAATAGTTTAGATAGTAGTATGTAATTTTTAAGAAGCCTGACACAGGCTTATAATTGTGACTATCCGGTATGGGTGAAAAATCCCATATTTAGTTTAGTTTTCGTCTTTTTTTTCTTTTTTTTATTCTCCCCTTACCCTTTTTTTTCTTCTATTTGTTTTTTTTTACGTTTTCCCCTATACCTCTGTGTTTCATTTATATATATTTTTTTTCTTTTTCTTTCACTTCTCTACGAGAAGATGTTATCAGATTGGTAATATTCTATTGTAGAGCAGTAGTCGGACGAGCTCCTAGTAGGATATTATCTTAATTGATTATATCTCTCTGGTATGGCAGGTCGCTTGTAGGACTAGATAATCGGTTAGGTTAGTCGAGGTAACCGCAAAATTTCAGACCTATAGTTTTAATGATTATGCACTTCCACAAGTAGCGCTTGATTAAATAAAGGTACTGGCATGATTAGCCTAAATGAAGCAAAAAAAAAAAAAATACAGGTAATACAAGTAGTACAATAATACAATTTACATTACAAGAGAAGGGCACAGATATTAGATGGCCAATCCAATATCCAAGGGAAGATAGGAATTATAGAGGAGATATCTACAGAAACTAAGAGAAAAAAATCTCTTTTTATATATCTGTTAAAGTGATATATATTGGCACACACCAAGTGGCATATGCTGGTATACAACCATATGGCAGGTGGCATACACTAGCATACAACCATGTGGTGGGTGATATACACTGGCATACAACTATATAGCAGATGGCATATACTGGCATATAGTATACACTAGCATATAGTATACAGTAGTATACACTTCTAACTATTCTATTCTAATAAAATATATCTTAAATAATAATATAATTTAACTAATACAAAATATATAATATAAAATACTATTTTACGAACTATTTGTACAATATTATAAACTCGTAGTGTAATATTATTTTTGATACAAATCCTTTAGTTTAATTATTTTTTCGCAATATTCACTTATTCACTTTTTTAATTCTATTATTTCTCTTTTTTGGTTTTCAATTTGTAACTCCAATACTATAATCTTTTTACTAAGATATGTTATATATTCACTACTATTCTAATTACTTTAATTTTTATCAAATAATTTTTTAGACTCTATAGATAAATATGGTTTATCTCTATTTATTATCTCATCTCGAACTCTAGAGTTAGAAATAAAAATATTATCAGAATTAATATCAACTCAAGATTTTTAAACTTTATAAACAGGTAAATTATTTAATAGCTATTGATAAAAATGATTTTTAGCAACAATTTGATTGTAATAATTTTAGCAGATTGAATAAGAACTTAAATTAGAATAAAGATCTGCCAATTCAAATATAAAAATATAAAATAATAAAAGTCACTTAGCTATTTTATTACTATTAGCATATCTCAAATTTATAATATCATCATTTTGTAAACACTTAAGCCAATTATTTTATGATAATTATCAACTAGTTTGCTGAATATACAAGGAAGATCTATGGCTTTTGAATAAGAAGATTGTGATATTATAGTTGATTTAGTACAAAATACTAAAAAAAAAGCTAAAAAAGAGGCTAAAAAGAAATTAGAGTTAGATTTAACAAAAAATTTGTATTAAACTTCTTGTATTTTTAGATTTCATATACCTTTTCAAAAAAGATTGATTCTGAAGTATTATTAATTGATTCTGAAACTAGAGATTCTTTGTTTTTGGTTCGTATAATGTTTAGCTATATATAAATTTGCTAAAAATCTTGTTTTGCAATTTGATATTTGAAAATTTGGTAAAAATTATTGATTAATAACCAATCAAATTTCTGTAGATTATTTCAGAATCGATTTTCAAATTTGATAAAATCTCAGACTGTATTAGTATTAGTATTTTTTTTTTTCACTTCTCTATTAGAAGATATCATTAGATTGATAATATTCTATTATAGAGTGATAGTCTGATAGTGCTTTCTAAAATAGATAGAGTTTCTAGTATAAAACTTATCATAATGTATTTATATGGATATGTCTGCTTAGTATAGCTGATTGCTTGTAAATACTCTTATATGGTTAATATATTGAAGTAACTGTAAGATATTAGATTCAAATATTAGTAGCTATCATTCACTTTATCTAGTATTTAAAATCATTAATAAAAAACCCTGGCAAGATAACAAAGTGAAAAAAATATATATATAAATATTTTTTTAAATTAACCAATCAGAATTAACTTATATGAGGAAAAAGAGTATATTTCTATAGTAAAATAATATTACGTAATATTTGTCACTACCTTTATTTTAGCAAATATTTAACTAATTTTAATGATTTTTCAATATTATAATTAGAATAACTTTTTGAACAACTCTTTTTTTGTTTTAACAATCCTTCCTTTATTGTTTAAATCAGTATAAAATTATACTTGTAAAGGTTA